TTAGTCAGCCATAAAAAGAAATCTTACCATTTGCAACAACAAGGATGGACCTAGAGGGTATTATGCTAAGTGAAATAAGTCAGACAGAGAAAAACAAATATCATATGATTTCACTTATATATGGAATCTAAAGAACAAAATAAAGGAACAAACAAAACAGAAACAGACACAAAGAGAGAACAAACTGGTGACTGCTAGATGGGAGGGAGATTGGGAGGCTGGGTGAAAAAGGTGAAGCGATTAAGTACAAATTAGTAGTTACAAAATAGTGACAAGGATGTAAAGTACAGCACAGGAAACACAGCCAATAATATTGCAATAACCATGTGTAGTGCCAGGTGGGTACTAATCAGGGGGACCACTTCATAAATTCTATAAATGTCTAACCACTACATTGTACACCTGAAACTAACCTAAAATAATACTGACTCTCAACTCTAATTGAAAAATAAAAATTAAAAAAACTAAAACTAATAAGTGAATTTAAATTTAGTCAGGGGGGCTGGATATAAGGGGTCAATATAGGAACATCAATTGTATTTTTTAATACTAGTCAGAAACAATTAGAAAAGCACATTTAAAAAAGGTTTCCAAAAGCATCAAGAACATAAAATGCATAGAAATAAACCTTAAAAGGGTTAAAAAAATAAACGACAGTTCCAAAATAGTCACCTGCCCCCACAACAGAAAACCAAGACTTAATAGCAGTCTCAACCTCTCCCAGGAATGTGACCTTTAAAGTAAATTGGGAAAGACAGTTTGTCTTCCCTTTTGTAGAGCTCCTCATTTTCTATTTGCTATCTGGGATGCTGCCCAATTCATGAATTATTGAAAAGCCAATTATATCTTCAAAGTTACTCAGCTGAATTGTTTTTTAAGAGAAATGTTGCTGGGGCAAGGATGGCGATAACCTGAGTGAGAACACTGGTCTGGAGTAATATTCCCTATAAAAGCCTTGCCCTTAAATCAGCCCTGGTATCCTAGGAAAATAAGCAAGACCTCTGAGCCTCAAATGAGACATTGCAGGACACAAGACGTCAGGAGGAGCAAAGGAAATTCACCCATGGTTTGGAGCACAGAAAACACTGAGAGAGGTGAAGAATGTGAAAGGTGAGTGGTAATCACCTTCAAGTGGGCTGTCAGGAGCCCACTCTCTCTACACAGTCCTCTCTGGACAGGCAGGGATATGAGAAGGTGGACCTGAGGAAAAAACAGTCAGTGTGAGGTTCAGGAATTTCTCTTGGCCTCCAGATACCAGGTTAGAAATCTCCAAGTTCAAAATGAGGGGTGCACCTCTTCCTTTAAAAATAATAGCCTCAGATCTGTCAGAGAAGAAAATAGTTTCTAGGGACAGAGCCAAGTGTAGGCATCAGAACACAGCCTGCCCTGCTATGCTGTTATTAAGGAATCCATTCTTTTTTTGCTGTGGAAGGAGAAGAAACTTTCCTCTACCTTTCTAGGTTCTTCTGGCTGTTCTAATAATTAAATCTTCATAAGACAGATAAATTGAACAAGAGAAAACAACCAAAGTTAATTACATATGTACATATGGGAAACTCACATGTGAGAGGTTCAGGGACAGAAAGAGAAAATGAGGTATAATGGCATTCTGAGCTAAGGATGAAGGTGCCTTGGGCTCCAGAGAGGAAGGTCGTTTACAGGACAAAAAGAAGAGCAGATGTTCAGTAATTAGAAGTTTGCCCTGCCCTATGGATAGGTCATAAATAGTAATTTCTTGTGATAACTCTTATTATGGGCAAAGCCCTAAATTTAGACTCTTTAAAGGAAAGGGAAAAATTTCTCGTGAGCCCACAGGGTCTCGACTGCCTTCAACTCAAAATAATTCACATGCCAAAGTGACACATCTTGGGGAGGCCTGTTCTGAACCCCTTCAGTGGCTATGGGCCTCAAGTGGTAACATTATTAGTAATAGTTAACAATTACAAAAAACTCTTACTATATACCATGCACTGTATAAGTTTTACCTCTCAAAGGCCTCATAAGTTAGGTCTTATGATAAACTGAGGCAGAGTTATAAATCTTGCTCAAGCTGAAGAGCTAGAAAGTGCCTAGATTTGAACTCTGTGGAATGCCATGCCTTTAGCCAGCTGGGTCAGTAGTAATGTCAGTAGTGACCAACCCCTCTGGGGTGTGACGATACTCAAAGCTTATCCATATAGGGTGGAGGGGATGTATGTGAAACAAGAATGGCCATTAATTAATAAATGCTAGATCTGGTAATAGGTCCATGGGGGTTCACTGGGTAGGTTCAAAATTTATCCGTGCCAAAAAATTAAAAATTAAATTAAAATCCTGATACTTGGACCCCACCAGATGTGGGAAGAAATTCGAATAGACAGCCAACGGCCCCTGCTTCCCAACAAACCCTGGGACAAGAGATCCCAAAGAAGCAGACCCACCCGCACTCTAAAAACTGCCTACATGCAGGTCCCAGTGTGCACTCCACCACCACTGGAGGATGTCTGTCCTAGGTCAGAACTTCCTACACCCCTTAAAAGCCCCAGGAGTCCAGACATTCCCCCCAGATCCCCTAGGGATATTCAGCTCACATCAAGCTCACCTCCACACAGCCACCTCAACAAATCAAGGTACAGCAGAGCCTGAGACTAACCCCCCCCCATAGGACTATATTGAGCCTCACTAAAACAAACAAAAAAAACCCCAAAACTTGATCATCATTATCAACAATCGGTTTCCACGAACTTTCGTAGACGCAGGACCCAAGTAAGTACTCCTTTGCCAGAAATAATAGGGTATATATAGCCGGAGCCGCGCCCCCATCCCCACACAGGAGGTGTCTGTCTTTCTGGCCTTGGCTGACCTCATGCCCACGGCCCAAATAAACCCCGATGATGCATGACTGCAGCCACCTCCCTATTCGGAAATTGTTTGGCACCGAATAATACCACCTCCTTCAAAAAATTAGAGTTCCAGCTCACTCGCCCTAGCCGGAGAAGGTCCGCGTAGCTCTGAGCAGCCCAGGGATTCACAGCTGGCTGAGTCTCATCTCCATTTCCCCGCCCCGAATGTGTGTCTCGGGCCGCGCCCCCTTCGCCAAAAATGAAACCTCCTCGACCCGCCGGCCGGAGCCACTGCCTCCTCCACGAGCCTTACTCTACCCAGATTCTTAATTCCAGGCCCAACTTTTCCCCGCCCTCCTTT